CTGAAAACTGGCACATGTGCAGATACGTCGAGGGGGACAGATCCTCGTAGGAGACAGATTTTCATGCTACACCGGAATGGCGCGGGAACAAGGCGAGACGAACGCGCGGAGCAAAGGTAAGTGAATTGACACAGGGGGGACTTGGGGACTTAATATGGGAGATGAATTACTATAGGGGGGGGGATGAATTACTATATGGGGGATGAATTACTATGGGGGATGAATTACTATATGGGGGATGAATTACTATATGGGGGAGGAATTACTATGGGGGATGAATTACTATATGGGGGATGAATTACTATGGGGGATGAATTACGATGGGGGATGAATTACTATATGGGGGATGAATTACTATGGGGGATGAATTACTATATGGGGGATGAATGAAATTACTATATGGGGGACGAATTACTATGGGGGACGAATTACTATGGGGGATGAATTACTATATGGGGGATGAATTACTATGGGGGATGAATTACTATATGGGGGATGAATAATTACTATGGGGGATGAATTACTATGGGGGATGAATTACTATATGGGGGATGAATTACTATGGGGGATGAATTACTATATGGGGGATTACTTACTATATGGGGGATGAACTACTATGGGGGATGAATTACTATATGGGGGATTAATTACTATGCTTACTATGGGGGAATATTACTATACTTACTATGGATGACACATACACATCATTCATCTACTTTTGGTCCGGCCCCCGGGTCCAATATATGAACCCATTGCGGCCCTCAAGTCAAAAAGTTTGCCCACCCCTGGTATATGCTGTAATGGGTCCTTTAGAGAGGTTCTAATTTCTTCGATCTACTTGGTATTTCCCCCCTTTTTTTTTTTCTATAAATACTTCTGCTGCTTTAATAAACTGTCCATAACACAGATTTAGTATACAGTCCAGCCACTCTCACTCACCCACATTCCAGCTGCTTTTTCCAGGGAGGTTGTCCTTTAGGATCTCTGTCCTCTGTTCTGGCTCTACTCCTCTTCCCTCTCAATTAAAGGAGGGGGGGTCTCCCCGGGTCTCCTTCTTCCTCTTCCGTCTACCTCTCTCACAGGTATCCGGCAGACAGGGTCTCCTTTCTCCCAAGCTGGCGTCTCTCCGGCTCCACTGGAGATCAGCCAAATCTCTCCCCTTCTCCTCTCACCGAGACGCTGAGCCGGTACCACGTGTCCTGTCAGTGAGGAAGCCGGCTTCTCCCCCTGTCTCGGGAAACCGGCCGGCTTCTCTGTCTCCCAGAGCTCCCTTGCGGGACGGTTTTTCGACCGTCCCCGCAGTCGTGGACTCCTGCAGCTCCATCCTCTCCAGTTTTCTTCGGGAGCCCCCTCTCACCTGTGAGTTTTTGCCCGGGCACCTTCGCAGCATTACTCGGGGAACATTTGGGAGGGAGGGTGGCTATCCTGTGGAGAGCGTTTCACATCGCCCTCTCACCTGCCACCATAGTTAGCCTTTTGGTGGTGCTTGATCACTACTTGTTTATTTTTAATATATAAACAAAAAGTTTAGAAAAAAAACAATGTTGTTATAAAACATATTCAATAAAATCAAATTTCTCTTCAGAAATTTAGGCCACAACGTATTCTACATGTCTTTGGTAAAAAGAATTCTATATAGGTGTATATTAATGGTTTGTGTGAAAGTTATAGTGTCTACTATATATACATTGGAATGGAATTACACATTGGATTTCCTGACTACCTATCACATTTTCAGAGGCCTTAAAATGCCAGGACAGTATAAACACCCCCCAAATGACCCTTGTTTAGAAAGTAGACACCCCAGGGTATTTGCTGAAAGGCATGTTGAGTCTTTGGAAGAACTTATTTTTGTCACACATTTTTGGAAAATGAAAAAGAGACATGTTGAGCCCGTGGAAGCTTTTTCACTTTACTGAGATGTTTCTCACACATATCATGGATATACATGGCATTACACCCCCCAAAATATATTCTGCTACTTCTCCTGAGTGTGGGGATACCACATGTGAGACTTTTTTGGAGCCTAGCCGTGTACAGGGGCCCAAAATCAAAAGAACAACTTCAGGCTTTCAGAGGGAGTAACGTGCGCATTTTATTTTTTGACTACCTATTAAAGTTTTGGAGGCCCTAAAATGCCAGGATAGTGCATTTTTGTTTTCTCTCTTCATTTTCCAAAAAAACTGTTGACAACAAATGAAATCTGCAAAATATTCACCATGCCTCTTAGCAAAGACCTTGGATTGTCTACTTTCCAAAAAGAGCTAATTCAGGGAGTGTTTGTACTATCCTGGCAATTTAGAGCCTCTGAAACTGTTATAAGTAGTCTGGAAATTACAGTTATCACCTATAGCCATGGCATATGTGAGAAATATTTCATTAAAAAGACAATTTTGTGTAAAACATTTTTGTTGTATTTTCCTGGCATTTCAAGACCTCCTAAATTGTGATAGGTAGTCAGGAAGTGAACTGAGGAAATCACGCCCTTTGAAAGCCTGAAGGTGGTCATTGGTTTTGGGCCCGCATAAGCAGCTAGGCTCCCAAAAAGTCATGTGGTATCCCTATACTCAGGAGAAGTAGCAGAATGTGTTTTGGGGTGTAATTCCACATATACCCATGGCATGTGTGAGAAATATCTCATTAAAGTGACAACTTTGTGTAGAAAAAAAAAAAAAAAAAAATTCCAAAAACGTGTCAAAAAATAAAAATTTCCATGGGCTCCACATGCCTCTCAATACCTTTGGGTGTCTACTTTCAAAAAATGGCACATTTGGGGGGTGTTTGAACTGTCCTGGCATTGTAGGGCCTGTAAAAACATTACATGTATGGTCAGCATTAGGTGTTTCTGCCACACTCCTATTGTTGGGTATACATATAATGTTCTTACCTATCAGATTTCTTAATTCACATCAATGTGGATGAAGAAATCTCTGTCAAAAAATGTGTATGCCCAACATTAGCAACTTCTGCCACACTTCCACCCATCGCTTGAAAACTAAATGTTGGGCATATGTGTAATGTGGGCTGAATGAAAAAAAGAACAGATTGCTCCATTCATATCAATTGATTTGGATGAAGAAATTTGCCAGAAAAAAAAGTACCGTATATCTCGAACATAGGAGCTACCAGCACCTGGCCACCCCATGCTCGTAGTGTTTTAGGTATATACGTTCTATTTTTTTTTTTTAACTGCGGATGAAGAAATCTTCCCCTGCAGTGCTGCCAACATATGTATTCTGATAGCAGCACTCTGTGAACCTGCTGACAAATTTGTGCTGTGTCCAACCACAGCGCAAGCAGCAGGGTGCATGTGCGCCTGTAAACCAGGAAGTTCCCCTGTGATGTATGGGTACATCCTGGGGGAATAACTCAGCCACCGACCAGCAGTAAAAGTTGAATTGCTGATTGGCAAGTGGTTAAAACAGAAATAGGAAAATTATGGGAAAGCCCTATATTCTGTACAAGCTACTCCTAAAAAAAACACCTGAGCTGTCCCCCTGTGAGATTTTATTTGAGGGGCCAACCAAAATAGTGCTATATTCACTTCAGCTCCAGGCCATTTCTGGCACTTTTTGTTCACATTTTAAAATTAGTGTTTGGGGGTTCTAAGACATTTTATAGCAAAAAAAATACTATATATATATATATATATATATATATATAAATTATATATATTATTTTTTTTTTTTTTTTTTTAAGCAGAGGCCTTAGAGAATAAATTTGTGGTTTTGACATTTTATTGTTTCACACAGTATTTGCACAGCGGTTTTTCAAATGCAATTTTTGGAAAATAATTTTTCTTAATTTTATTGCCAAAAAATACAATACATAAACCAATTTTTTTAACATATAGAAGATGATTTTACACTCAGTAAATAGATACCCAAACATGTCATGTTTTAAAAAAACTGCTCATTCCCGTGCAACGGTGACAATTGTAAATTTTACTATTCATAGGGGGCTCTTTAAAAGCTTTTATAGGTTACCACTTTAGATTTACAGAGGAGGTCTAGTGCTAGAATTGCTATGAGTTTAAAAAGCTTGCAGAAGATGAGCATCACGATGGATAAGCCCTAGAGCCTACCTGAGACCTGCCCGTGCTGCCTGTGCTGCGGTTTGTGTGCTGACCCGTCCACTGATTCCATACCCCCTTGGAGACTGATAACAGCGGAGGACCCTGAGTGGTGCGTGCCAGGTGTCCACACACGAGTTGTGGAACCGGCGGGGAATAGGAGTAGGTTGCTGGAAGAGCCCTTTGGGCCCAGTGGAGCGGAGATAGGAGGAGGCAACCTCCGAATGATGGAAGGACGTCGGAGTGTCCATGAGACTGCCTGTGTGGCAGTGACTGAAGCTCCGGGTGACCTGAAGGAGACAGAGAAGGAGGCAGCGCTACACAAAGGGAGACCCCTAGGTTACATCTAGCATCTGGAGATACCCCAATTGGTAGACACCCTCCACAGCATACACTGTACTCCGGGAACCCTGGCTGGAAGGTCAGACCAAAAGGAAGGAGCAATAAGGGTCGGTGTAGTAGCGCACTTGCAGTACAAAAGGTGATGGTGAGTTGCCGCAGGCAGTGGTAAAAATCTTTAACCACTAGCCTACAGGGCACTTATACCCCCTTCCTGCCCAGGCCAATTTCCAGCTTTCAGCACTGTTACACTTTGAATGACAATTGCGCGGTCATGCAACATTGTACCCATATGAAATTTTTATCATTTTTTTTTTTTTTTGAGACAGATAGAGCTTTCTTTTGGCGGTATTTAATCACCTCTGGGATTTTTTTTTCTTAAACAAACCAAAAACCACTGAAAAATGTGAAAAAAAAGTTTTTTCTTAGTTTTTGTTATACAATTTTGTAAATAAATGATTTTTCTCCTTCACTGATGTGCGCTAATGAGGCTGCAGTGATGGGCACTGATAGGTGGCACTGATGGGCACTAATGAGGAGGCACTGGCAGGTATCACTGATGGGCACTGAAAGGCAGCACTGATACATGACACTGATATATGGCACTGACAGGTGGCACTGACTGGCACTGATAGGCGGCACTAACTGGCACTGATTGGCATTGATAGGTGCCACTGATGTGTGACATTGAAAGGCAGCTCAGATGGGCACTGATATGTGGCATTGATGTGCACTGGTATGCACTGATATGTGGCATTGATGTGGCACTGATGGGCACTGGCACTGATGAGCACTGACAGGTGGCACTTCTGGGGCCACACTGATCATCAGGGCAGACTGATCATCAGTGCCCTGATGATCAGTGTACATGTCCCCTCTGTGGAAAGCCGATTACCGGCTCTCCTCTCGAGCTGTCAGCGTGACAGCTCGAGAGGAGAGAAATGCCGATACCCGGCATTTCCGTGTTTACATGTGATCAGCTGCTTGAGTGAAAGACTCTTCCCTGAGTTGTTTTCTCCAGGCAGATCCATTCCATTGCAGGTCTACAGCTCTGCTATTACTGGCACGCAGTTTAATTTGCTTATGCTATGTTATTTTATTTTGTATGCTACCACTGGTTCTACGGGACAAGAAGATTCTTTCTTCAATCAGAATGTCTTCTCTTTTTTCTCTCTCTTTTTCTTTTCACTCCCCTCCCCCCTTTTTATTTTTTTTTTCCTCTCTCCAGGGTCAGCTGCCAGTACACTTGGATTCATTGGGCCATTTTCTTGCCCCAAGAGGGGGTGGGTCCCAGCTTCTATAGGTACTTAATTGTCGATTATGCCATCTCAACACCCTACTAGAGGAACTATTCGTCTACTCTCCCACAATGGTTCAGGGGCTCAATTACCCCTCTAAACGTATAAAAGCCTTTAATGCATACCGCTCTTTTGGGGCGGATATAGCTGCTTTACAGGAGACCCATTTTCCCTCCTCCTTCTCACCACGATATGTTCATAAGGATTACCCTGTTTGTTATTTTGCTAGTGCTATAGAGAGGAAGTGGCGGGTTGCCCTTTGCTTGTCTCGCCGTCTGTCGTTCACCGAATCTAAAATCATCCGGGGCAGAGAGGGACGGTATCTTCTGGTGAAGGGCCACTTGGGGGGTCATTTAGTTACTTTCGTAATCTACTGCACCCCGAATACCAATCAGGTTGAATTTTTTGTCCGTGGTTGCTGAGCTCTGACTAAGGAATTCGAGGGGGATGTTATCCTGGCCGAGGACTCTAATTTGGCGTTGGAGCAGATTTCGGACCATTTCCGAACCGCTGTGCTTCAGCCCCCCTCCTAGACAGAGCCGTAAGTTCGCCCAGCTATTGTTTTGTTATGATCTGGTTGAAGCTTGGAGGGAAGCTAACCCAACTTCTCAGGATTACTCCCATTATTCTAGGGCCCATAACTGTTATTCTCGTATTGACCATATATTTCTTCATATGCACTCACTTCCCAGACTCAGTACTGCTAAAATTCTCTCCACGCCATGGTTTGACCATGACCCGATTTCTATAACATTGTCCTGGACATTTGGTAAGACTGCTTATAGTTGGTGTCTTAATGAATCGATTTTGGGTAACCCCTCATACTGCCAGGATGTATCCTCACACTTACTAACATATT